ATATTGGACTAAATAACTAGAACTTAACTAATACAGTAGAAATTCCAAGATAAAGTTTGGCTTGATTTCAAAGTATTACATGCAATATGTTTATTTCTGGTAAAATATAAGTAGCATCCATTCCTCGTCTATCAGATATTTGAATGTTTTGACCACTACACGGGTCAAAGTTCTCAATGAGCAGAAGTGCTAGAGGGAAGACATCTCCATCACATGTCCACAGGTTCCAACCTCAGCTCTGTTTTTTATTAGACAGATAACCTTGGGCAGGCTGTATCTGTTTTACCTCAGTTTTCTCTTCTGTAAAATGGAAATGATATGGATCCTTTGGGATTGATTGTAAATGTTAAAGACACATTTAACAAATAGGAATCCGAGCTCTAAGCTGGACACTGGTTTAGGGCTTCCCAATAGAATGGTGGGCAAGACAGAGGACGTTCCTGTGAGGCTTAACAGTTTACCTCTCAATGCAAGACATTTAATACATTGCCTGAACAAAGCTAGATAGCACTAGCATCCATTTCTGATTTATTCTGTCATACACAAGGCAAGAAATGTAATGAAACATCACTGTGCAAGAATTACCTGTACAGTATCAGGGATGAGAAGGAGGCACGCACTTGCTTAGAAAACAAACAAAAAAGCACAAGGAAATTGTTTAAATCTCAGAGAGCGTTTTTTAAGGCATGTGATAAGTACTGCATGCTACCAGAGAATGGGCTTAATTTTGACGGACCCTCAGTATTTCCTTCAGGAAGTGTGGCATGACCCACACTTGGTAGTTCTTTAATAGCTTGAAAAGTAAGAAAGTTGTAATCTTCACAGGGGTCTGGATTTTCCTTCTAAATTCATTAATCCAGACTCAGCATATGAGAATTCTGCAACAGGCCCTGTGTTTCATAGAAAGTCCGGGGAGGGAGGTGCTCACTGGAGGAAGCTGAAGGACATTTGGAAGCTGCTCCCCTGTGGCCCTGCAAGCTTGCATGCTTAGGGGACTCTGGTTGTGTCCTTCTCTGGGCTGCTTGCGTTAGAAATGGGGCCACTCCAAGGAAGACAGGCCCATCTCCTCACCTGGAAGCAGCAACTGCCCAGGGCTGTTGGATGCTTCTCTCCCGTAGCCAGCCAGGTTCCAGCCCAGCCTCTGTGTGGAAGGAGGAAAGGCAAGGTGCAGGAGGTGGTTTCAGGAAAGGCTCCTGGTCCCGCATGTGTCTGCAGAGACAGTGAGTCTGCACTTCCCTGCCTGGAGTCCATTCTTACTTCTTTTGCTCCGGTTCTCTAAAGTTGGTGATACATTGACTCCTTTGAATGAAACAGGAAAGTAAGATTTTTTTCTTCCCTGTTTGATCAGAAGGAGAGAGACAGAGGAAGGAAAAAAGAGGTAGAGGGGGGAGAGAGTAAGTGGGAGACAGAGAGAGGGAGAGATGGGAGGAGAAGGAGATGAAGGAGACACAGGAAAGGCAAAGAGATTTGGAGAGATGGTGGATKCTAACAGAAGCTTCACTGTCAGTTCCCCTACAGGGTCAGCCCTGAACAGCCTCTGTCACATTGGCCTAAACTTATCTCTGCATCTATTTCCCCTTGTGCAAGATTCAGAACTGCTTGCTCCAAAGAAACAATAAAAGCATTCATGGTTATATGAATTGCACAGGTAAAAAAGTTAGTGTACTGATATTGCTGGGTTTTCTATTGATTTGGTTAGCTTTTGCCTGGAATTGTTTGGGTTTCCCAAGCAAAGTAGAAAATCACAGAATGTTTTTGTGAAATAATTCCTTCTGGCATCTCCCTTTATAGACCTAATGGTCTTGATTTTTCGTTTTGGTGAAACTTTGTGAAAACACACCAAAAATTTGTTTTTGTGATTAACTCCATTCACTGAATCAGCTCCTTTTTTAGTTGAGACCAATCCCATTTTCTGTTTGACACTTGCATTCCTTCCACGTGGGATCAGAGGGGCTAACTTGGTGCTTCATAAACTGGATGCAAAGCCTAGGTGGGACTCATGGTTACAAGGGGACGGGTTGGGATTTAAGTATCCTTCAAATCACTGTTTTTATCATCCTAAGTGATGCACATTTAGAGTGAGGGGAGTTTGGAGAAGCTTGTTAAGTCAATACTGTGAAGTGAGGCATGTCAACCACAGAAGTCACTGGCCCTATACAGACTGGCTCCTGGGCCCCAGCTCAGAAATTATTAAGAATTTCTACACAGGGCATGAACAGACATTACACCAAAGGACCCTCTGAGCATGGGCCCCTGAGTACCTGCACTGGTCACAAGTCCATGAAGTCCCCAATGCCAGAGAAGGTTTGGCTGAAAGTGTGCATGAAAATTGAAGTGTGGTGGATTGCATCACAAAGATCCACATTACCAGAGCTGGACGTGGTTCTAGAGCTTTAATGACAAAGCACAGAGATAGAGCTTCAGGTTCCTCACATGCACCACTGTCCCCAGGGTTCTCACTAAATTCGCTCTACGTGGTGTTCTCTGCAGCTTCACCTTCCCCTCTCCCCCCCAGTTCCCTCCAAGAGACATCTGCATTCTCTTTGTGACATGACTGTCTGGAGTAGGGGTTACCACAGGGCAGGGTCTGACTGGGGACCAGCCACAGGGCAGATGGTGGAGATTCTGGCTTGTAATATATTCACACATCTTGCCACCTGAACGATCAGGCCAATGTGTCCAGTGGAACACAGTGTCCAGCAATTCTGCCCCAGACAGCACATCTAGAGGGTCATCCACCATCTCTTGGCAGGTGTTTTCTCCTTTGGTGCTTGGGTGGGGCAGCCTTTAGCCAGGCCTTTGGAAACATTTTCATCTTTTAAYGAGAACTAACTTGAGTACAATAATAGGTTTTAATCAATTGTTAAATAAATCAATTGAGTGGCCATGGACCTTAAAAATAATGATGGCAATGATGCATATTGGTTAAATAAAAAGATGTGTATTAAATGAAAAATATTTTGAAATAGTACATTTGGAATACAAATGTCCTTTCTTTTCAAAAGAGCACAGAAACACATGGAAAAAAAATCATTAGTTTTAAGTGGTGGGAATTAAAAGCATTGTCTCTGTTTTTTTCTTTTTTTAAGTTGTCAAAACCTCTATCTGTCATGTAGCAAAAAATTCAAAGTAGGCATTCCAGAAATTTTGTTCAAGTCATTGTTCCAATAAGATTTGACTTCTGTAGGCTTCACTCAGCAATGCTGGGACAGTTGGGAAGGGGTTTGTTACATACCATCATAATTAAGTCCTTAGTTCTCATGTGAGTGCTATACAGAAAGTACTAAGATTGTTTTCAGTTGAGTCTCATTTTTTTAATTATGATAATGTTTGGACTGTTTCAGAAGAATCGTAGGATATTGCTTTTTTACAGTAGAAGTGCAGGCAATGCTAGGCACATGGGTTTTCTGTGGTTGGCTCTAGGTCTGCTTTGTCTTGTATCAGTTGCTGGTGACCCTCACTCAGGGACTGGAGCACACATGGGGTATAGGGTCTTTTTCTCTTCTCTGGCTCAGGCAGTTCTCCTAAGCCATGCACCCGCCTTGAAAGTTCACAGCACACTAAGACCAGTTCAGTGCCTTTCAAAAATAGACAAAACYTTTCCCCATACAGGAAAAAGGAACTGTCATTTATGTCCTCTTCGTGACTAATACTGATATTCCTGAAATTGAGAATACATATTCCACCTGTACCATTAAAGATTTTAAAGATGTAGAGCTATATAAGGTTATATGTATAACACATGTAACTATAATACGTAAAATTTTAAATATCTTCCCACACACTATTCAGCCTAACAGAGGGAGGGTAAGGACCCTGAATCTTCCATCAGTTTCCAGATCTCTGCTGAAAAAAGGCTTCAGCTCACATCCACACATCTGAACCCAAGAGACAGAGATAGCAAAGAAAAAATGGGGGTGAGGGCTGGTTTAGAGTCAACAAATAGCTTCAGTTTGCTAGTTAGTGAGGGATCTCTTCCAAAGGCTTTCTAAGCATAATGAGCAGACTTTGTTGAGGTCACTTGCTGCTGGCCACAGATTTCTTATCAACAGAGCTACCAGATGTCATATATTATGGGTGCCAGAGAGTTGCAGGCCAGGAGCCCAAGTGCAAAGCACAGCACTCCCCTAACTTCTACCCCACTGATATTGGGTCCCTTCCCATTTGTAGTGCCTCACAGTGCAGCCTGTGGTACATTCCCTGTGGCCACTATAGGGCAGCATCTCTCGTGTTTGTATTTGTAAATTTAAACCAATCTGAGAAGCCAGCCCCCTGTCAGCAAAACAGGAAGGTTTGGGCCCTCTCCTGGCTTGCACTGCCGTCAGTTCTCCCTGAATAAGAGTGTTTGCTGGTAGAGTTTGAGGGCCAGGTCTGAGGAAGAGTGAGGGACAAGGACAGCAGTGCCTGCGTTACCCATCTGCCAGGCTGGAGGTGTATTCATTATTGATGGAGGTAGTGCAGTTGCTGCTCAGATATGCAGCCTTGCCTGGGTAAATGAGACATTCTTCAGCAAATTGCTTCGTTTTTTGATTGCTGATTGTACGCGTGTCACCAAGCTGACTCAAGGTTCATCGATGCATGCTCAGTAAATTAGAAAGAACATAACTATGGATCAGCCAAGAGAATGAATTCTGTGCCTACAATGACCCAGGGCCATTTAATTTTCTGCTTAATTTTGTTGCAGTCAGTTTGCATTTTGGGTTATTATGCAGTAGGAAATTAACAATAAATAACAAATTTGGTCCTCCTGTGCTTGTAATGATATTTTTATAAATCTTTGTAATGCTGTTTTTAAAAGGATCAAGGTCTGTGCCAGTCAGATACTCCAGCAAGTATGTGAGGAGGAAAATGCATTATTCTTGCTAGATAACCTTGTTGTTAAATAGCATAAGGGTTCTTTATCTCTCTCTCCCCCTCTCTTTTTTTCTCTGTCTCTCTCTCACACACACATATTAGTATTTTTGCTTTCAACTAAAAAATCCCCTTCCTCTCTTTCTCAGATAACCTGAAGACAATGGATGCTGATGAGGGTCAAGACATGTCCCAAGTTTCAGGTGAGACCTTATGGGATACCTGTATAGCCAGGAGTCAAGGCATCTGCAATGCTCATGGGGAGGCAGAGGGGCTGTTCTGCAAAAGACAAGACCAAGCTGGAATTTGTGTCTGTTTACTTCAACTTTAACAAATGATCCCAGTTGGAGAACCTGAACAGGGGAAAAAAAAAAAACCATAACATAATTAATTTAAGTGTTAAATCTAGAGTAAGTTGGAAATAATTAAATATATGTTGCAATTCTAGGAGAAACAGTTGCATTTGGGTCCACCCTAGAACCTAAGGACATGCCAAAGATAGTATTTAAAATAAAGGGAGGGAGGGGGGAGACAGAAAAGAGGAGAAAATTAACTTGAAAAACTAATAGTGTAGCCCAGATCAGATTATTTGAATATTTGGTAAGTATAGAAATAACATGGATCCATTTTAAATGATATCTTTTCAAAACATTCTGGGCATAGCTCTTGTCATCTTAGGAAGCCCAGAAAGTGGAGAAGTCACTAATGGAGACCTTAAGGGTGGGTCACAGACTGTCCTGTTCAGCCCCACTGAGGATGGGCCACTAGCCAGCGTAACAAGACCTGCACAGCTCCCAAATGGATAACACAGGAAGTCCATTTGTCTGGCACTGTACCTGGACAGTACTAGGAAGTAGTAGAAGCTTCCTGGACTTTGGAGTTTTCAGTATTTTATGTTTTAGAACTTCACAGGCTTATTACCAATCCAGGAAAACAGGCCTTCATGTCACACTGGTCAGTCAGTGCCATGGGGTCCTTGGCTAAACTGCCCCCTCCTGTTTTGAAGTTTTTATTGAATTTTGAATTTTAGTCTAAGTCAGTGTTTCTATCGGACATCTACAAGGTGCCTCCCTGTCCCATGGCTGCTTACTGGAAAATGTGCAGAAGGTATTCAGGTGCCATCAAWCTGGAGACAGAATTATGGCAAGTCACAGGTGTCTCCCTCCTCTACTCTGCCATCTCCACCTTTTCCCTTGTAACATTTTGGACATAAACTCCCTAAGATGCAAAAAAAAAAAAAAAAAAGCCAACTTTTAAAATGTGGCCTTCAGATGCTTTGTATACAACTGGAACAAGTAAAAATTGGTCTACAAGTGCATCATTATCTGCACAAGCTAAAATTTTATGTATTCTACAATTTAGCAACTTCTCTTTAAGAAATTTACCTTGGGAATAGACTCTCACAAGTATAAAGAATATTTAAGCATATTGTTGTAGCATTGTTATAAATACTTAAAATCTATGGTGTATCCATGCACTCTTACATAATAGCTCTTAAAAATGAGGAGGATATGAATGAATATACACGTATAGAAAGAAGTCTGAAAATATTATGAAAATGAAAAGGCATGTGAAATATGATCCCATTATTTACAAAACCACAAATTTTACACACACATACACACTTTTTCTATATGCTTACATATATGTTTATGGAAATTCTGGAGTGGTATTTATTAAGCTGGACTCTCTCTTAGAAGATGGGTGTTGGAAGGAAAGGGGTGAGTTAGTTATGGTATAAGTATACACACTTAGCCAAACAGAAGTTGACATGTTACTGAATCATCCCCTTTTTCATAAAAAGTCAAATGTCAGCAGTTTCTTAGGATTCCACCTGAATACTTGAAAAATAGCAAGATACTTACTATCTGCCTTTTTTAAAACCACTTGCTTCCTTTTTTTTTTTTTTTTGCTATATCCTAAAATTGTGGACCATGTCCTCAGTATCTTGCAGATAGTAGGTGCTCAATAAATGTTTACTGACTTGAATCCATGTAAATTAGGAAAATGTTATTGGTAGGCTTGGAGGAGAGTATGCCTAAAGCAAGCTTTCCTTTCCTTTAGGGTATATCTCACTAAGTCTTTGGGTAATTTCTCAGAATTCTTTCCAAATATTTAGTATGCATATGCATTATGTTTTTCATTTGGTTTCTGAAGAAAGAGTCAGTCTGGAAGAGTGAAGGATGTTGAGAGACCTATCCTAGCATGCATCTCTGGCTCCAACTGTGGTACCCAAGGCTTTGCCTCCTGGATTACTGTACATCTGTAACAGGAAAGATGGAAACAGTAACAGAAAATCTGTAACAGTTAGTCTTTAAAGTTCCTCAGATTATTATAGCCCTAACTATGTATTGAATATATTCTTTTCTTTTAAAGATTTTTTTTTTTAGTTGTAGATGGACACGATACCTTTATTTTATTTATTTATTTTTATGTGTTGCTGAAGATTGAACCCAGTTCCTCACACATGCGAGGCAAGCGCTCTACCACTGAGCCACAACCCAAGGCCCTGTATTGGATATATCCTTATAGATCTTTTTAATGTGTTTGTTGAAACATGGACATAAACACACCCTGTAAATATACAGAATCTGATTAGGGAAAGGAAACTTATATATAATGAAATAGAAATGGAAATATTCATCTAGTTAATCATAGTAAATCACATTGATTAAACACCTTATATTAACCAAAAGCTATCCTAAGTAAGAGATTCCTCATTTTATCTTACCAGGACCTACTGAAAGAGATACAGTTAACATCTCCAAATTATAGGTAGCTGAGACTCAGAGAGTTTAAATGACTGACAAGAAAACCTAATATCTCTATGGGGTAATGACTCAGGGGCATGAGCCTCACCTGAGCCCCAGAGCGCAAACGCCTCTACTCATCTATGGAGCTGGGTTTCTATGTTCTCAGCTTTTATTTACCCCAGGGTTTATCTTCTATCATGTAATTATATATTTTAAAAACTTGTGGGGCTGGGATTGTGGCTCAGTGGCAAAGTGCTTGCCTAGCATGTGTGAGGCATTGGGTTCAATTCTCAGCACCATATATAAAGAAATAAAGGTTCATTGACAACTAAAAAAATATTTTTTTTAAAAAAAACTTGTGCGTTTGGGAGCAGGGCGGAGTTCACAGAATTTTTCTGGGTGAATTATAATTTGAGAAATCATTGCTTTCAGCTGATAAGCAAATGACACAATTTCTCATTTAACTGGCCCACAAACACTTCTCATAGGCAATGCTTCATTTGACACATAAGCAGTACATAAACTAAATATAAGTCCATATATTGATAATTTAGCTAGAAGTTTCTTTCATTTTTCCAAGTGAAGTTTTATCACCTTTTCTAAATTATTATGACTGTTAATACTTGCTGTCTTCCTGGCTGCATCTTTGAGGTAGCCTGTCAGTGTGCATGCACTGCAGGAAAAGAGGGGAGCTGATTATTATACCTGTTGTGTGTTTCTGTAGTATGTTACAGGTTACCAAATAATATCATAAGCTTGTTTTAACATATTAGACTTCATATTCATCATTTTTATTTTTGTCTTCACTACAACCCTATGAACTAGGCCAAAATAATGTTTTTAGCTTCCTTTTACACTTAGGGTAAGAGTTTTTAAGATGTGACCCATCTCATGTTCCCATCAGTCTTCCAGACTGGTGAAACCAGAACTGTATTCCAGGTCCACAGTCTCCTTATCACCCCATGTTCATATTTGGGGATGTGTTGACTTGATTTAACACATCATTTTCTAAATCTTTTGTCATCTTTATATGGTCTTGTATTTGAATGGTTAACTGGGCAAATGTCTTGAAAGTCAACATGTAAARCGAATTTGCCATCATGAAAGTTTTCATGAAGCCATAAATTTTTCTCCTGGAGATCTTCCAGCAGTAAAAGAATCCAAGGGTTCCTGGGTACAGAGGCTTACCTGAGGGATTAATGTCTCCGCAACGGTGACTCACACTGGGGAGCTTTTAGGCAAATCAGATGATCTCTTAAAAACCATCCCTGAGTTAAGTGGAGGCAAGGCTGAATTAAGACCAAGCTCTTGGAGGGCATGTGAATATAGCCAACTTTGCTCCTTCTGGTTCTGCCTTTTTGCATGATGCCCCTGGTGCACTGAGACAGGTTTTTTTATCCTCCCTTTTCTCCATGTGGTTTCTTCTGCATAGGGAGTTCCTATTGATCATTCTAAATCACGGTATTTTAGAATCATGATCCCTACTGTTTTCATTACTCCTTTCTGCCCCCATGCAGGAAAAAATAAAAGTACTAAGATAACAAGGTCAGGGACACTGGAGAGCTGGCATTTCAGTGCAGAAACTTAAGACAGATGTAAGTTTTAAGAAGCACATTTATTATTATGAACATCCTCCACAAGCTGTAGTTGGTATTGTTCCCTAACAGGTAGATCCCTTAAATTTTTTTTTTTTTATAATTTTATTTTTTTTTTTAAAGAGAGAGTGAGAGAGAGAGAGAGAGAGAGAATTTTTAATATTTATTTCTTAGTTCTCTGCGGACACAACATCTTTGTTGGTATGTGGTGCTGAGGATCGAACCCGGGCCGCACGCATGCCAGGCGAGCGCGCTACCGCTGAGCCACATCTCCAGCCCCCCCTTAAATTTTTAAAAGAGTAATATTAGAGAGTTTTTTTTAAAGATGCATTTTAGCATGAATTGAGCAAAAAGTATGACATTCCTTCATTGGCTAAGTCACAATTCTTTATCATTGTCCCTTGGCTCTTGGGTGCTTTAGCACCTACACGGGCCCAGAGGGTCATAAAAGACACCAAATTTATAGGGAAGATCATATAAAAAGATAAGTCCAAAGGTTGTTTCTTAGCCTCCATCCCCATTCCACAATGATGACACCTGATGAATCCCAGAGATGAAAGTGTATGCCTGGCTGGCCTTGTACACTTTAAATCATGGGCCAGAGACGACACTGTCTGATCCTTTAGGGAGTCTTTGAAATGGAAACCTGGGGCCTCTGAGGGTCCATCTGCCCCACCCTGAAGTGTCCATACTTATATAGACCTATTTTATATATTAAAGATCTATATGAGATTATGGTGCTATTCTTACCAAAAACAATAAATAAATAAATAAATAAATAAAATTCCTTTTACCACTTTCCTAAAGTCCTTAGAGTTTGAAAACCATTATTCTAGGTCACCATCTTAGGAAAGTAAAAGTAGTCAGAGGATTCATATCCCTCCCACATTTTCCTATTCAGAGTTTTTTTTCTCATTTATGAAAGAGGTGAAGAAACCAACACTAAGACATCTAACTATGGTTATTTTTGAGGCCTTCTGTTTAGGGCAAAGAAAATAGTACTGACTTAGTGCACATGTCCAAGGCTTTTGCGTAACCTGAGCACTTTGAATCAATTTATCTCTGGCCTTTTGTTTTTCTTTGGGAAATTCTTCTACTCCTACCCTATCTTTAACTATTCATCTTGTATTGGCTATCCAAATATACCCAATAATGCTCTTTCTGAAAATATGCCAATTGCACTAATTACAGCTAAGCTGGAATATTAAATTGTGATGGCTGTTTCCTAGAGAATGCAGTATTATTCCCCAACGTATATCCTTGGTGCCTGTGCAGGTTCTATTTTAAAGATTTCAGTAAAGGTTGTTTCATATATTGGGAATGATTTTACTGGTCTTGCCAGTCCCCTAAAATTAATTCTTGTAGGAGGTTGTTTACTCAAATCTACAAGGAAATTTTACACCATATCTAGTCATGTTTTCTAGAAATTTTAACATTTGATTTGTCATTTACATGCTTTTGTAAAAGTCTGGGTTTTCTATGTGGGAAGCTCACATTGCCTGTAAAACCTGGTGGCCAGCTCAGCAAGCATACAACCCCAAACTGTTGTTTTTCTATTGGACTTCCTTTAGGATATTCATCCAAACTGATCTTCTGCAAGCAGCTGTAATAGGTTAGTTTGCATCTGCTTTGGTCCTTCTCTGCCATGTCTTGGGTATACTCTGTGCCTTATAACTGGAGTTTAAGTTAGCTCTGAAAGGGTAGAAGCTATAGGAGTTTCAATCTCCATGGGAAGAGAGCGTTTTTTAAACCGGTTATGCCTTCCCAATATTGGATTCCTCAGAACGGGAAAGAGTTCCCCATTCCTAGAGGGTTTGGCTAAACTTAATTCTAATCAAAATAAAGATGATATCCTATAAAGCCCAATTTCATTTGGCAAATCATACTTACTGAAGTGTGAAGAACCTTTGTGTTTTCATGAATTATATTTTATTCCTATTTCAAAGTGAAGTTTCATTGATAGACTTTTTTTTTTTTTTGCATGCAGGGAGGGACTTGTTGCTCCAGTAGGCACGGAGCCCTTCCATCCCTCTCCAGTCATCTTCTGCCTACCAGGTTAAGTTGGGCAGCTGTCAAAAGAGTTCATGGCTCTTGAAAAGAAAGTGAACAAACCCAGGATGCATGGGTCTGAGCAGGATCCTAGCATGAGGGTGGGTGGGGCAGGCTTGTGGGGAATGAAAAGGGAACCACTTTATTGGGGGAAAGCTTCATCAAAACATGTGAAGAACTTTAAAAATGTAGATGCCTTTGGACCCAGTCAGAAAACTTCCGGAGATTTACACGGTGGTAATTATTAGGGATATGTACAAAGACTGGCTAGWAGGTGTTCATCGGTGTTGTTTAATAATCAAAAAGGATGGGAAGCCATATAGGTTCAAAGTTAGAAAAAGGATTTAAATAAATCCTGAAGTACCCATTATATACAAAACTGTAGAGGTATGGCCCCTGGTATGGAATTACGTGCATAAGAATGTCTAAGAGCTAGTTCATTTTGAAGAAACAAAATATATCACCCTGTATTATGTATGTATGTGTGCATACATACCCATTCTGTAACTTTAATAGTGGAAATCTTGAGTTTCTATTTTTGTTTTTCCTTTTTGAATCTTTGTTTACACGTTTGTTTTGTGTTTGGGTTGAGGGGACAAAATTATATTCTTTTTTAGAAAGAAAAAATTATTTTATAGGGAAACACTCAATCCAGTTACCACCTCCTTATGCCACCCTCTCAAGCCACCAAGGGGAAGCCCAGGCACCCTCCTGGTAACAGCCACAGCCAGACACTCAAGCTCCTACTTATCTCCTCAGGGAAGGAGAGTCCCCCAGTAAGTGACACTCCGGATGATGGTGACGAGCCCATGCCTGTCCCTGAAGACCTTTCCACTACCTCTGGAGGACAGCAGAATTCCAAGAGTGAAAGAGGAGTGGGTAAGTCGGGTTGTCCTGGCATCCTGCAGGCTGTCACCTGCTCTGTTTCTGTGAAACCTCCGTCTCTCTATGTCCTTCCCAGACAACGACTGAGAGATATGAGTCTTTTTCTTCACTGTTTTCCCTCAGCCATCATGTTAAGGAAAAGTGGTGCAGAGATTGGCAGGATGGGGTCCTTTGGTGTGAAGGAGGATGAACCCTGATAGGCCAGTATGGCCTTAAGACCCACATGTCAGCAAAATAGCAGAGGTGAGGGTCACCCACCCTGCCATGGGATATGTCTCCATTACGCTCCTCTGCTCTTGATGCACTTTCAGGAATATTAAATTTTATTGGTTGTAGATAGTGAAAATTACATATTTTATGTGTTATAACCATAGGGCTGTTTTCTCTGGAGCTTTGGATTAGAAGGAGTCTCATCTGGCCATTTTATTTTATCCTTCTAATCTCTAGTTCTTATGTGGCATATTTAACTGGAAATAGGAAGTGATAGATGGGAATTTTTTTTTAATGTTAAAGGAAAAAATCTAGATTATCTAAATTAGCAAACATTTACATACATTTTCCCTAAAGGGATGGGTATAGAACCTTCTGAAATCACTTTACTAGTTAACTTATACATGCTACTGTTCATGTTTAGAAAACTTTGTCCTCCTTTTCTCATTACAAGAAGACAGAGGCCCAGAGAAATTCAGTGAACTCACCAACGTCAAATGGTGGAGTCAGAATTAAACTCATTGTCTGACTCAAAGATTAGTTTTCAGTCTACTATACCATGTTCTCATGAGCTAATGAGTCATTAGTTCCCTAGAATAGTAATTTTTCTTTTTTGAAAAAAGATAAATCTGTGATATAAGAGCACCTACTTATACAAAATCATGTCATGAAGGTACAAAGATACAGAAGTCAGGGAGGCTGGATGGATATATCTTAGCTCCATAAGCCCTCACTGCATGTCTTTCTATAGGACATCCTGACACAACAACTGAGAAACTTCCTGTATGTTTTCATGTGTCCTAGAAACAAAGTTTACTTTGGGTATAATGACTGTCTTTTAATTTAGCTGCACCTTCTGGCTCAAGTAAATAAGGATAGTGGCTAAAATCATATGGTGTAGATGAATGCAGAGAATGAGTACATTTATAAATTCTTTTCTCCCTTTTAGTAAATGGCTACTCTGTGTGGGAAGGTAGATGGGAAGAGAAATTTAACACCTGTCCATCATTCCTCTGTTCTKCGAATACAGCCACATACATCATTTCAGAATTTCCCCAAGTTGAGACTCAGATGATCACACAGTTTTTTAATGGATGTTCTTATTTTTAAGATTACCTTTGATTTACTGTAAGTGATACTGGTGTTCCCATAGACTTTCAAAACACATTTATGTAAGTTGAAAGGTTAATTTAAATAAAAACATTAAGACACTGATAGTACATATACACAGTAAAAATTTGCATTAGTRACATATGAATAACTAATGTGGGGTTGCCCCAGGGTTTCCTCATTGGTTTAGTCCCTGAAGCACCCAGTGCAATGGGAGTAAGTGTTCTTCCCACTTACTCTGAGCATAAACCAAAATGCTCATGCCTGAGATGCTCATATAGCCAAACAAGGGGCTTAGGAACCAGGAACCAAAATTATCCATTGACCACGCAATATACTGTGAGCCCAGTCATCTGAGTTAGGAGCTGGCTCTGGGTCCTTATGGAGAAAGCCGTAGACTCAGCCCTGAAATCTCTGTAGCTATTGTGGAGCTGCCACGATGCCCTCARAGCCCTTGCAGTGTGGGCATCCTTTGGGGAACTGAAAGTCAGGCTGATTCCTGGAGAGTAGAGACAAGCATGCAATTCACTTGGGATAGATAAATAAATCATTATTATAAATACCTGCAAAATAGCCGGGTGATGTCTCCCTTAGGAACTTTGCACTGAGGGGAATTGCCTCTGGGTGAGGATCTCCCAGCCTCAGTTGGAACTGCTGGCTGGCTGCCAGGGTGGTGTTCCCTTCATGCAGAGTCCAGTGCTCAGTCCCAGATTTAACTAGTGCAAGCATTTGCCTGGAGTTGGGGTGGGCTTGTCACTTCCTGGGGGCTCGTCACTTCTTGGGGGCTCATCTCAGCACCCCTTGTCATGTGTGACTTGATTTTTAGGCCAGTTTTCCTTTCAGGATGAAGTTTAGAAAGCAGGAATTTCAGAGTTGTGAGATTGAAAGACCCTGGAAAACCTCTTTGCTGGGTWAGAGAGTAGCCGTTGACTTCCCTCTGTGGATAGGCAGGAAGAGCTGTTTGATGTGGGCCCAGGGATATCTGCAGCATAGAAGTCCTTGTGGGTCCAGTAGGAGGCCAAGGAGTGATTCTTCAGAGCCAGGAAGCAAAGGCTGCAAAAGCCCAGAAGTCATGTCAAACACCAGACAGCAGAGGTGTGGGGACAGGAAGTAGGAGTGAGAGGACCCAGAAGACCCACCCATAGAAACAGACGTCAGGAGAAACCATGCTGCAAGGCGACCACATTTAGAGATTGYCCTGTGTGATTCTTTAAGAAAATGATCTAGTGTTAGCATGTGATCATAAGTTGTTTGTAAGGTAATTTGTAGTGTGTAGCATTAAATAAAAGGAGTATGTAGGAAACAATATGAAAAGTTAGGGAAAATTCATAGATTCAAGGAAATACATTTGATGCTATATTTCATCAAATTATTCAATGGAAGTGGGTCATTAGAACAAAGGTATATAAAAAACAGACCCAGGAAACTAGAAGAATTCCCTCACTGAGACAAAAGTGTAAGGTAGGCAGTAGGAAAGGGTATATAAAAGGAGTGGTGGCCTGGCAGAGAATGTGTCTTAGAGGGGACAAGCCAGAACTCTTCTTGTGACTCAGGGCAGGTTTTCCTCTCTGAGCCTCAGGTTTTTGTTGTTGTTGTTGTTGTTCCAGGGATTGAACCCAGGGACTCTAGACCACTGAGCTGCATTCTCTGCCCTTTTCATTTATATATATATATATATATATATATATATATATATATATATATTTTTTTTTTTTTTTTTTTTTTTTTTTTTGAGACAGGGTCTCACTTAAGTTGCTGAGGCTGACTTGGAACTTGAAATCCTCCTGCCTCAGCCTCCTGAGATGCTTGGATTACACGCACTTGTCACCACTCCCAGCTCAGTTCCTCATTTTAAGGAACAGTAGCAACTAAACTTGTGTCCCAGAGTGACTTTGTAGGTTCCATGGAAACTCTGTCAACTTGTTGAAAACAGTATAGCAAAGACATAAAGTTAGAAGAAGAAAAAAAAGACCAGAAAAGATGCAGCTTGTGCAGAGCATAAGTATTACAGATTAATACGAAGGGTGGAGGGAGCCCCCTGGTAGCTTTAGTTGAGAAAAGGGAAAGAGAGCTGATAACTTTGCAGCCCCAAGGATAGAAGAGAAATTTATTAGTTTAGAAAACTAATCCGTAAAATATGCAAAGTGAAGAGAAGAGAGGAAGGAGTTAGAAGGAAGGAGTACGGGAGRGATGAAGGGTACTGGCCGTGAGATCCAGGATACAGTCAGGGAGGATCAGTGAGATGGTCAAAGATGGGAAAACACTTGGTCATAATGGATGGCAWGGGTGTCTTTTCTAGAAAGAGGCAAGGCATGCTTTTGAAAAGCTATGAGTCTTTATTGCCAGAGACTTCATTCAGTTTTAGAAGAATCCAATCATCAACAAGAACAGACCAGAACAATAAAAGAATTGCTGGGAAATGGTAGAAATCAACCTCCTGCTGAGGAGGTGGGAGGTTATACTGGTGGGTGGGTTGGTCCCAGGACAAGAAGAATAACAGTGCCATACCTCATTGCTTCATCCAGCCTTGCAGGGACACTCTAGATCCACATATAAATACGGGAAACCAGGTGATGGCCTTAAGTCAGAGCAAGATGCGAGCCCTTAGTTGGCCACCATTTTCTTCCAGGTCTGAATAAGAGGAAATAACGGATTTAAAGCGCAACTTGAAGAATTTTCAGTTAGAGTCAAAGAAGAACTTTCTGGCAAGGAGAGATTTAGTCATCAGAACATCTCCTTAATGAGACGGTAGCTTTTTCTTCTGAAGTGGTCTCTTTAAAAAGGAGAAAACTCTCAGCTCTCTGAAGTGGTTGTGTCTGAAACAGTTTGAAGCCGAGAAAGCACTCAGTGACCTCTTAAGGCAACCCCAAATTTATTCAAGCAGCCAGAGCACCAATATTAAAGAAGTGAAAAATCGATGGAGATTTACTCTGAGAGCTCTTGACCAGGAGCTCTTAAGAAACTTTCCCTTAGGAATTATGTCAGGATTAATATCTAGAGAGCAGACAGGTGTTTTGTATTTAATAAAACGAAAGACGTGATTTTCTTCGTTTACTCAACCATAGTTCCATACCTTCTTCTTTACAGCCTGAATTCTTGCCTTTTCCTTCCTTCCATGTTTCCATGTCCTTGGATTCTCTTTGACAAGTACCCATGATGCCCCTCTGACTGGGAGGGCTGGGAACTGTGCCACAGGACTGGCCGTGCAGGAGGAGGACCCCCAGCCCCACCCCGCCTCTTGCCTGCACCTGAGTGCAGACCAGGGGCAGGAGTTTTGGTAGCCTACAGCACAAGGAACACGAAGGGCCAGAGGACAGAGATTTGAGGCTAAAACCAGGATGACCACCCCTGAGGAGGATGCCATGCAGATTTAGGGTTTAGAGTTGAATTTGAGGAAGAATTTAGGGGCAGAAGCACAGGAGTGCTCTAGAGCTGAATTAGAACCATGATTTAAGGGGGATGGGCATGGAGCTAGCTCAGCCAAAGAACTGAGACAATATGGCTTCAGTACAACTTGGCACATGGACTGGTCATCTCGACAGTCTTGTGCAGGACCTGCTCCAAGGTAGAAGGAACTGTGTGAGTCTGGATGTGGAGAGAGAAAGCATTTCTACATATTCCTATCACATTCTAGAATGTGCTCCTTTGGTTCGGAGCACCTGAATGGCCTCCCA